CCTACGGTTTACCGGGCAGTTCTATTTGACGATATATTATATATATATGGAGAGAGAGAGAGAGAGAGAGAGAGAGAGAGAGAGAGAGAGAGAGAGAGAGAGAGAGAGAGAGAGAGTTTTGGTTGAAAACCGTCGTCCCCTTTCTGCAGAGAAAAACAGAAGACTTTTGGTCATTGTAGTACTAGACCTAAGAAAATGTCAGAAGGATGAATGGCACCACGTTGTTGATTCCAAAAGTGGGTTTGCCGTTCTGATGGTAATATTCTACTATACTCCGAAGAGTCCGAACCAAACCTGTTCTTGGGTGCCTGCCTGCCTGCCTGCCTGCTAATGCATGTTTGCATGTGATTCTTCTAGTGTGCTGGTTTTATTCTGTCTTTCGTTTCTCCTTTTAATTTTCCTTTTTTTTTCTGTGTTTGTTTGTCTTCCCCACCCCCTTTTTTCTTTGTCTCCTTCTTTTTTTTTTTTTTAATGCCCTTTCAGACTCGTTCAGCACGCCAATCCGGGGAGAGGGCGGATCTGGGTCCAGCTCAGGGGATAAGCCACCCTCCATCTTCTCTATTGCCTACTACAGGCCATACTTTGATGTGGACACATCTGATGTTCTTGAGAGAATCCTGGAGACATTTATTCCTTTCAGGAGCACATTCAATGAAAAGACGAGTGCGCAGCCGGACATGTAAGATTAAAATGTTCTTTCGTTTCTTTCTGCTCTTTCTCTGAGTTTCTTTCTCCCCCCCCCCCCCTCCCCCCTTCCCCCCCTTTTCTTTCGTTAAGTTGTTGTGTTGTTTCTGCAGCAAAACATGGGTGTATTGCGAGAAAAAGAAATGGGATCGAAAACATTCAGCGAAGCGAATGATGTTAAACATTCAGCGAAAACATTTAGCATGGATCTGGTACAGTTTATGAGATACATTCAGCGAAAACATTTAGCATGGATCTGGCGCTGTTTGCCTTTCCAAAGGAAGAGTTTTGCAGAAATCACCGCGGTCACCAATTTAATCCAAGACGGACAAAGAAAGGTGGTAGAAATGTGGTGTAGAGAAGGGAGAGGGAGGGCACTCCGTCGATTTGTCGGCGTTGATTTGCAGCCGTCGATTTGCATTAGATGTTGTTGACCTGCAGGTTGCAAGTTCTATCCACACAAAACCCTCTGCTGCTGATTTTCCGATTCGTGAATCAGCAAGAAATGAACCTTTTTTTTTTTTTCCTTTTTTTTTTTTTTTTTGAGAATCCTGGATGCTCCAGTCTATTGGTGGGGAGCGGCACCTGCTGGAAAACGGGTCCAGCGTGAACTTACTTTTCAATGCGGAAGCATTGTTTACTTGGGGCACTTGGTGTTCATATATGCAGTTTACTCCCTAGAAGGAGAGAGGAGGGAAGGGGGGAAGGGAAAGGGGGAGGAGAAAAAGAGTAGGGGGTAGGGTTAGGGGAGGAGGGAGAAGGGGAGGGGGAGGAGAATGGTTGCGCTGGCGCTTCGGCGAAAAGCTTGGTGCGCAGTTTTTTTTTTTCGCCTCGGCAAAAAGAGGCTCGGATGTACTGGTGGTTTATTTAAGCTTAAAGCGGGCAAGTCCACGGGATTGTACCTATAATGCATTCTGTGCTGCGCTGATGTCTCTTCCCTGTGTTGTCCGTCTTTGCGCGATGGATGTTTCAGGTATGGCCCCTTTTGGATCTGCACCACTCTCATTTTCTTGTCATCGGCCCTCGGAAACATCGCCAATTATTTATCGTCGGAGGAAAAGACATGGCATCTAGATATAAGCAACGTGTCGAGGTCGACGGGGATATTCTACGGATATGTGGGAGTCGTTCCGCTTGTGCTTTTTGCAGTTCTCAAGTATTTTGGCATGTCGTCGGGCCTCGTCCAACTCTGGTGCATGTATGGTTATTCTTTGTTCATCTACATCCCGTGCACGGTGAGATAAAACCTTCTCTTTTTTTTCCTTTTCTTTCTTTCTCTCTTCTTTTTCTTCTTTTTTTTTCTGTTCATTCTTTCTTCTTTTTCTTTCTTTCTTTCTTTCTTTCTTTCTTTCTTTTTTTTTTTTTTGTTTTTTTTTTGTTTTAAACCACTAGTACCTCCTCCAGTTGGGAAAATAGGGAGGCCTCGGTTGGGCCTCCGATCTTTTAGGAGGGTGAAACGAAACGATGGCCGCCAATGAGATTTATCAACGGCGGCCGTCGTTGGGCGTTGCCCCCGACTTTTTAGTAGTTTGGGAAAACTGCCCTATTTTGAATTCCCCCCCCAACACTGGTGGAGGTACTAGTGTTTTAAAGGTCTACAGCCTTCATTGTGGAAATGAGCGCCCCTCGGCAATTCATTCCATCTCGTTCCATTTCCCTCTGGATTGAAACTCAGGTCTGCATTTCAATTGTTTGTGTGTGTACCAACTGAGATAAGCCCGTGGATAAGAGGAAACATTTTGGGACATAATACACTTTTAAGTCTGTAGTGGACACTGTACCATACTTGCAGCGCATATGTGCGGTGCGCCGTGCACGCTACGCTGATCACTGATGTGCGGTGGAAGAAAAAAAAAATGAAGAAGAAAAGAAAAGCGGCCGTGATGTGTGTATACGTGTGTGTGTGTGTGTGTGTGTGTGTGTGAGAGAGAGAGAGAGAGAGAGAGAGAGAGAGAGAGAGAGAGAGAGAGAGAGAGAGAGAGAGAGAGAGAGAACAAAGAGCCCTTTCACAGTATTCAGAAAACCCCTGTGGATTCTCCGAAAGGCCCCTGCCAAGAATTATCAAGGGTTTCCTCGCCAAGAAAAGGGCAGTTGTCATCGGACTTATAGTAGGGCTGTAGCAAGCCAACTATATATGGTGTAGCTTCGAGTTCAGGTCCGTGTTTCAGCAGTTATGGGTTACTTCTAACTCACTAACTTGGCATGCGATTTTAAGGGCTTCACTCCACTACTCACCAAATGTGCAAAACTAGAATGAATCTTCTGCTAGAAACTGGAACCATACACCGCCAAGTTCAACCAGCAATTCGATGAACGTCTCACCAAAGAAATGGGACCCTTGCTAATTCTGTGTTTGGGGCCCTTTGGAAGAGAGAACGGATCCAATGAGGAGTACGATTTGGCCCCAAGCTTTTTTTTCTCTTTCTTTCTTTTCTGTGCACTTACGATTTTCCGAAGGGAGGGGCACATTTGGCTAGCACAGCCTGCCCTTTTTTTAAAAAATTAATCCGCAGTTGGGCCGCATCACGTATGTGCGCGCATTTATGCGCGTGTGCTATGCGCCGCACATGTGCAACTTGGGCGTACGTGATGCGCTGCATGTATGCACTGTACAGTGTACACCCTATTACCCTCTCTCTCTCCTTTTTTTTTTTTTTTTTTTTTTTTTAAGAGTGTAGGGCCTAGCCTTATTGTATCCATCTGGCTGGATGAGGAATCGAACTGATGACTTAGTTTGTAACAGTTATATGTGTGTACCATTCAGCCACATGGGCTCGGTTCGATTGTACCCTCTCTATCTCTGAATGTCTGTTCGGGTTCGGTTCTTTCTTCTTCCGTCTTTGTTTTCCTGATGTAAATCAACCATCAACAACTTTTCTTTTATTTCTTTCTAGTATTCAGTTTGTATGAAAGTAATTTTTAAATTATATATAAGATCTGCCTCCTTCCCCTGATTAGAACGTTTGGTCATTCTGGCTGTGTTTTGGGAGCAACTGTCAACTCTAGGTACAGCTATATGGTACAGTTTCTGTGTTGCGCATAATTACACAAGCAGAAGAGAACTTTTGATGACCCCTGAAGGGATGTATATATGTCGTAACAGTCCCATAATAAAATCTTATATATGCCGAAACAAAAATGCCGACGGTAAACCGTAGGCAGAGAGGGGGAAGGGGACAACGAACCAGGGGCTGTGACAAACTGTTTCGTTGGCGTTTCATCAACTCGTCAGGAAGCTGAATATATCCCGTTCGTTAGCCATAGGATATATGGTTATCTGGAGGCGCTTGCGATTCCAGACCTGGAAAATGACAGTAAAGGAAAGCGACAACGTTTTCCTATGTCTTGCGTTGAATAAGAGTGCACATATCAGGGCGCGAAGAGCGGGAACCAGGCCACCAAGTGGCAACAGCACCTGAAGCGCAATCTGCGTTCTCGTCCACTTGACAGTTGGGATCCCATTTCGGGGATGAGAGCATTTGGTGGAACCGGTGGACCATTTAGGTCGAATGGGACAGAGGGGTCGTAGTAGCTAACTAAGCTAATCAGCAGATGGGAAGGAGGTTGAATCGTCGGACTGGAGTGTTAGTCCGTCGCACACTCAAGGCCAGCGAGCGAATGAAGTGGGCGCTTGAACTCCGAAACTGCTTGCTGGAGGCAGCACACCCGCCTTTGTACTCAAGCAGACGCGAAGAAGCAGTAGTGCTATGTCCAGCTATCGGATATTTATTACTAATCAGCATGATGTTAATGATATTCATGGCTTTATATCCTGAAACCGCCGCCGAGTATCCAGTAATGAATGCGTCGGTGCGGACAATAAGTCAGCAGGGAAGGAAGACCGTAAAGCCTCGACCACTGCACGACAGACATCCGAAGCATATATAAGATGGGTGGGATGATGATGCAGTATGGACTTCTAGGCGACTGGAAGCTGAAGTGTTTCGCTTGCGAGCTAATCAACACTTTGTGTGCCTCCAGCTCCAGGCTCTCGCTCAGGTTGCGCTTTATCTACTCATTCATACCTGCCTCGCCAGTTCTGACCGTTTCTTGAACTTTCTTCGGCCATTGAATGTTTGTCTCATGTTTCCACAAATCTGCGCTGCCTCGATTGTCTGCTTTTTCCTTTGAAAAAAAAAAAATAAATCAACATATCTTGTGATGGGTGACCCTTCTTGCCAACCTATCCGTTATCGATCTACCTTCGGTCTCGTTCTCGCGGCGGAGCAGCGCTGGTCTATCTTGTTTCATACTGAAGTTAAGGGGGGGTATTTGGACCCCTTGTGATGTCTGACATCATCAATCATTAGTATGGTCCCTTTGTCACCCCAACTGTTGTTTGCACTTTCGGGCGAGATCCCAAATTCCTACCAAAACTTTGGATCCTTTGGTGGTGGTCCCCACCACATCTTGCATCTGTTACAGACAGTTCTCTCCTTCATCTTTGTGTTATTCATGAAATGCCACTAAGTCTTTGGCTGTAAGTTCTGAGCGGAGAGTCGGAGACGGAACTCCTGTGTAGGAAGAAGGGACAGGAAAGAAACAAGGAGGGTATGGGGAGGGAAAAAGGGGGAGGGGTGGTGGGGTGCAGGTGGGTGAGGGAGGTTCTGACTGATTGACTTTTGCATCCTTTGTTTTCTGTCCTTTTGATGATATTAGCAAAACTGGTTTGGTTGTTGCCATTCTTTTTACTGTACCCCCAGTTAAAAAAAAAAAAAAAAAAAAAAAAAAAAAAAAAAGCTCTGCGGTAATGAAAGCCCTTGTTCGGTGGGTAGCAGCAGGATGGGGAGGGGAAAAGGTGAGTGGTGGTGGGGTGAAGGAGGGTGAGGGAGGTCTGAGTGATTGAGAGTTTTGCACTCCTCTGCCTCTGTCTTTTTGACGATATTATTAACTTGCCTTGGTTGTTGCCATTCTTTGACTGATCCTGCAGTTTATCTCTGTGGTACCGAAAGAGCTTGTTCGGTGGATTGCGCTTGGTACGTCAGCAGCTTTTTCAACCTGGTTTCTGGCGACAAATATGAGAGCACACGTAAAACAGACGAGCGAGAGATGGGTTCTGATCGTCCTTGCAGCTATGTGTCTCCACACCGCGCTTGCTTTCCTGCTAAAGCTCTTCTTCTTTGTATGATTCGTCTCTGGTTGAGGTGTGTGTACCGGTTTCTAATCTTTTATTTTTCCATATTAATTCCTTGAGTTTTGAATCAGAGGCGCTGAGAGAGGGTAATAACAATAATAATATTGCGGGCTCTTGTGGGTCGGTTGCTCACGGAAGCGCTGAAGAGAGAAATAAAACTTAATTGAGAGTCTTGCTGGAGGGAGAGGACACAAACGTCGCCCGAGAGAGCCCTGCCAAGGGAGAAGGCACTGACGAAATCGCTGGTGGGTGGCTTTGGCTTTGCTCCGGGCTTACCTTCATTTTTTTTTTTTTTTTTTTTTTTTTGTGAAACGATCGGGGATCACTGCTGCTATTTCATATAAGCCATCCATCATCTCTGGAATTTGACGAACATTCTCATGAAGTGTCCTCATGGCAGTTTTGGGATTCAACACTTCCTCTGTTCAATGCATGACAGCATGTTCTCATCCTCCCTTCCTCCCTCCCTTTATACACATCTAGATGTGTATAAGAGACAGACCTATAAGTTCATGGAGAACAATCTCCATATCATGATCTTACCCAGATCATCCTAGTTAACTATATCTAAGCCTACCTCTAAGCAAGTGCCCAAAGAAAGGTAGACTCATGGCGAAATCTCCCCTATTCAAAGTGGACTGCCAGAATC